CGGCCAACCAAAGGCCGCGGTCGGTGTTGTTGTTGTTTGTCACCTCATTAGCTGGAATATTGAAACACAATAAATTTGTCAGGCTATCCAAAGATATCCAGACATATCAGCATGTTATAACGCGCTATAACGTAAAAATGATGGATGAGACCTCTCAAGAATAGCGACTGTCTGGTGACATCATGAAAACACTTCTTACGTTTTCGAATCAGGTTTTTAGACATTTCAGAAATAGTTTTGCCTGGCATTGTGTTTTCCTTTCGTTGAACGATATGAAAATATATTCTAATGCTGTGCAAGAACCTTCTCGGACGCATGTGGCCCTTGCACAGGTGGCCGTACCCGGGCCGGCTCAGGCCGATCTGTAAACTTGGCCGTGGGCTGTGCGGCAGGCGCGGATTGATTCGGCCTGTGCAGAGCGTGGCGCGCGGGCAGGGGCCGCGCGTCGGCGTCCCGCTGTTTAATAACGTCGGATTAAGTCCGCAGATGAATCGGTACCCGGAATTAAAATGATACCAACCTTGTAGTACAATCAAAATGTCAATATAGATGATTGCTGTGTAGTTTTAATAAAAGGATCGACCGCACCTCGCCGTTCGCCGGAGTGTAGACTGTAATTGGCTCTGGATTTCGCGGGGTATTGCCAGCAGTCGATACGGCGAGGCACAATGACGCTGCCCTGGGGCACACCCGGACGACATCCCGTCTGCTGCCGGCCCGGCCGCGTCCGACGCCGGCGTAAGTTGGCGAACCAGCCAGCTGTTGGCACGCAGTAATTACTGGCTTGGTGGCTGCCGACGGAGACGACACGAGGCCCGGCCGGCCGGAGCGGACGCGACGTTCCGACGGCGCGCCCCTCGGCCGACTCCTAATTTCGAGAGTTTGAAATGAAAACAACAGTGAAGCGTGAGGCCCATCCCTTTGTAGGCGCCAGCGTGGCCCTGTGTTATTCTATCTCTGGTCCCTCTACCCCAGTTATATAATGTCGTTTTTTGTCGGCTCCTCTCCCCTCGTTGGCCGTGGGGATGGAAGTTTTATTCGCCCCTATCCTTACCTTAATCAGCATATTCTAGTTGCCGCCTGTCATAACTAACAATGGCCTGCGTTCGAAACTCTTTAGCCGATCACGTGTCGGGAAAAATGGACGAAATGATTGTCCGAGAGCGCGTCATTGTGCTCGTCACGACTGTGCGTGTGAGTGGCAGAGGGGTCGGGCGAGGGGCCCCTGACCCGCTTTGAAGACAGCGCTCTGCCGGAGCCGAATGCGCCGCTTTGTTCGCCGTCGATCACGTGACTCCGGTCGGGCCACGGCCGAGGCGGTCACGTGACTGGCGCCGACCCGGCTGTCGGTAGCAAGCGTGCAGCCACATCGGGCTGCTGTGTGAACACTAATGCGAATATGCCTCCATAAATTCCGCGTGACGTTTATGGAGCCCGGCAGCACTTGACGACGTCCTGAATACCGTCGTTTCTTTATTTTGAGTATGTTTGGTGGGACTGAAGTGCACCCGTTTTCTCATCCCCTCCCCCGTTCCATGCCTGTCGGCCTCCCAACCGGGTACAAACTTCTCCTCTGGCCTTAGGCATGCTTTTATTGCCTACGCTCACAGGCTCGGGCCAGTCCAGCCTTACTTCAACCCGATCGCCCCAACCGCGAACAGAATGAAGCTGAAATCCGCACTCATGAACTCGCGCGCTTCGGTAAGCGCGAGCACCTTTGAACGTTTCTTCGTAATGCTCGGTTGACAGCCGGATGGTCAGAGGATCGCTCGCTGTGTGCGTCTGAGAGATGACGTCATCCAGCGTAGCTTTGAGCTTAATTGTCTGCGAATGTTTTAATATAGATGACCAGATCAAAGTCGACATTGTGCTGAATTGCATTTCATTCGGTTTTTACAAATGTTCCACTTCTGTCCTGTCTGAGACAGAAAAAGAGACCAAATGTCTTTTAAAGTTCATTATCTGCCAGCATGACAACTTGGCAGTCCATGTTATGCTACAAAAGTGCTCCATGCCCTCGTAGTATCGCTCCTCCTGCGATCTGAACAGCTACTCTGCAGTGATTAGTAGGGAACTGTAAATCCAAGATGTTGTTTTGCACACGCTATGATGAAACCATAACACTTCCCTTTGTCACAATTCGCCGCACTAAAATATCTGCAACACCATGACCTGCTCCCCCCCCCCCCCCTCTCCCGCAGTCCTGCGTCTCTCTACACTCCACGGCGGTTGCCAGGTTCCAGTCAGCGCCGTCTTCCCCCGCCTGGCCGGCTCCCCCAGCCGGCACCCCATCGGAGGCCGCCCCAGCCGTCGTGGCCCAGCCCCCGCTGCGCTGGCCATAATGTAGGCGGCCGGGCGTCGCTCCTGCCGGGTGTTGAATTCAATGTTTTAGCGGCGGCGCCGTAAACCAGCATGCATCCCAACAATAACAGCTCTACTAGAAATCAACAGGGAGCGAACGGCGCGGCGGCGGCCCCTAAATTACCCAGGCGGCCGAGCGGTGGCGGCGGCCGGGCGGCGACACAGCGGCGCGCGACGGGCCACCGCCGTCCCCTGATGAATGGGTACAGGTGAGGGCGCCGCCGCGCCCCTCGCCGGGCGACAAATGCCGACCGAGGGGGCGTGACCTCAGCGGGGTCGGAAGCCTAAACGGTGCCGGTAAATAGTGGCCGTGGCTGGGCACGAGCCGGCGCTGCCCCCTGCAGAGGGGGGGCCCAGCCGCAGAGCGGCGCAGATAGCAGCACCGGGGCCTCACAACGGCGGCAAGAGACGGCGCCGGACTCTGGAGAGGCGCGGCGCGTGAAGGGGACAACTCGTGGATAGCTTTGATAGTATTCATGTATGTAATAGATGAGTACTAACAATAGTGGAGTGCTCATGCTCGCTACAATGGTTCGTGGACGGCGTGCCGGTCAAGATGTTAGAAGTGCGACAGGGCGCGTTTGCTGAGTCCAGTAAACCCGTTGTAATCCGCGAGCCTGATCTTACAAAGACACGACGATTTGCATGCAGCACAAGCTGGCTTGACTTCTCTTTCATTAGCAGCAGGCAGAAGTCACGTGATCCACAGCCCTGCAGCGAGCCCTGCAGCTGGCCGCCGGCCCGGCAGCTGACCGCGCCGGCCGCGTCTCTTGCCCGCCCCGGACCCGAGCGTCGGCCGTGACTCACATCGCCGGCGTCGACACGCGCCCCTTCCCTCCCGCCGGAGCCGATCCAGCCAGGCGCCACGCAATTGCAGACGGCGTCGCGGCCGGAGCAACAAGTAGTCCGGACGGCGGGCGGCGGCGGCGGCGGCGGCGCGCGGCCGCCCGGTTTTGCCGACACGGCGCGGCGCGCGGCGCAGCGGCCCGCGGCCGGGCGGCCCACACGAGCCACGCATTCTTACCAGTGTTACACGGCTTTTTACGGTTGTCACGGGTTTCTTTACGATTGTTAGCCGGTCGAGATGGCAGAGAAAAAGTGGCACCGGCTGACTGTGTAATTGTGCGCGCTGCGGTAAATTAGGGGGTTTTGTTTTTACAGGAATCCATGAGGCGGGGGATTCGATTTGCGGCGGGTGGTGATTAAATGTTTGGCCGACTGTTGCGGGCGGGGCCCGCGCCACGCCGACAAACAGAACAATTTCCCGGCAGGCGCTCGGTCCTGGGAGGCAAGCTCTCCCCCTTCGCCACCCGGTCATTAGGCGGCGACGTGCCGTCCGTCTTGCCGAGGCCGCCACCGACCAGGCATTAGCAGGCGCGCGCGACCCCACCACCGCCACGCATTCTTGATACCGTTCCGAGGTGGAGACGGCAGTTCAACGCTCCGCGAGAGGGGACCGCTGGATTCCACAGATAGCTCAGCTGGTCCAGCGGGATTGCAGGCCCTTGACGGAGGACCCGCTGGATAACTCGGCCGAGGGGATACTGGCTTGGGGTCATTCAGGTGGTCGCAAATACACTTATTTGGCAGCGCAGTGTAGGGGCTACCGTTCGTGCCCTCAACGTTGTTAACATGCATTCACTCGGCAATGAGTGCACGCGTGTTGGCATTAGTCAAGGTGAGAAGTTCATTGTGACGTGCGAATAGTGCAGAGCGCATTTCAGGTGGTCCACGCCCACTGTGCTCGCCTCTCCTCCAAAAACGGTGTGACGCGAACAAAGCACATGTGGAGGAAAACAAAACTGAATAATGTGCGTGCTCTGAATCAAGGCAGAGGTGCACTTTGATATCAGCATATTCATTAATGACTGGGGATGCAATGCAAAAATGTTGAAATATATCTTGACAAAGTAATGATTCATAAGACGTTCGCCCATAACCGCGGACGTAACTACCACCGGTATCGGTGAAGTCTGGCCCCAAAAACTTCGGTACGTTGACTCGTTTTTGTGTTTTGACCGCACAAAATTTCACCAAAACATGAATGAGCCCCAGTGGCTTTTAAGGCGACGCTACGTCCATGACTGCACCTTGACTTCAATGGCTTTCAATGCCTACAGTGGTGACATATCTGGTGCATTAACCGGCAAGTAAAAGAGATACGAGACGAGCTTGCAAAATAAATATACTTCCATTGATTGCTGGCTCCCACCTAACTTTGCACGTTTTTAAGACTTTCGGGTACCCCTGCAAGTGTTTGGCGTGAGTAGATACATCTGAGCCACGAGCGGCGATACAGGTGGTAATTTATGGCGTCATAATTCTACGAACGCGTGGGGAAGCTGTACATCGCCAGCTTATGCTTCCGACCATCTTATTCCCACGCCTATTGTGCGGATGTGAAAGCTATGGAAACCGCACCGAGCTCCAGGGCCAAATGTCGGAGCCACCAGTGCGCGTCGTCGCTTCCATCGGCCGCGACATCAGCGTTACTGCCACGCTCCCTGCTTCCCCTGACCCCTCTGACTGCACCGAACAGACGCACCGCGCGCCGCCCCGCCCGACAGCCGGGCCCGTGTCAGCGGCACAGTCCTCCCCCACCCGAACCGCACGCTCAGGTCCGTCGTGTGACACCTCACCTTGCCGTGGTGCAGTCCTTGTAGAGCACGTCGAACTCCTTCATGGACAGCAGCTTGCAGCGGTTGACGCCCGGCTGGATGGCGCCGAGGCCGCGCAGGATGCGCACCTGCTCCACGTTACAGACCACAGGCACGATGTCCAGCCGCTTCAGCTTTGTGTAGACCGTGTGCAGTCCGCCGACCAGGTGCTTCAGGAAGAGCTCGAAGGCCTGCGGCAGGCACAGCATCGTCTCGCCGTTGATGATGAAGGCGGCCACCTTCTGCGCCCGGTAGTCGACCAGCTTGCACTCGTTGGCGCTGGGGTCGGTGGTGGGCAGCGGCGGCGGTGAGCCGTAGGCGGGCCGCTCGGCCGGCGCCGGCGGCAGCCCGCCGTACTCGGGCATCAGCCCCGGCGCCAGCATGCCACCCGGCTTGCCGAAGAACGGATACGGCAGCGAGCGCGGCGGCGAGTGGAAGTGCGCCGGCGGCGACTCCTGCAGCCGGCCCAGCGGCGGCGGGCTGACCGCGTGGCCCAGCCGCGCCGGTGACGGCGGCGGCGACGAGCCGGCCGAGCCGGCCGGCGGCGAGCGCTCTCCGTTCTCGGCCGCGTCCATACCTGGTGCGGCGGGCTGGCACGCGAGCTGCCGCGGCGTCCGTCCGGCCCCCTGTCCGTGCGTCCGTCTGTCTGTCGACCGCGGCCGGTGCGCGAGCCGTCTGTCCGCCGTCCGTCAGGCCGCGCGGCAAACAAACAGCGACACGTCTCTCTCACTCACAATCGCCAGTCGAATTAGACCTCAGCAGCGCCACAAAAGTCATAAACAGAAATGTGAGGCAGGCCCGCTTCAGAATCCTGGCGAGCACTGGCGCTGATTGGTCGGCGCGGACGACACGGTGAAACGCCGCGCGCTGATTGGCTGCCGGCCGGCCGGCCGCGGACAGTGGGCTGTACTTGAAGAATCTATTGTTATGCGTTGGTAAGAAATAAGCAGTCATCAATCTCGAGACCGTCATCTGGAGCTGGAACAGACAATGCTGGCCGGGCGAGAACAATGACAGCCGACAAAAGCCCACGCAAAATGCCAGCCTGGCGGCGGGCCGTGGAAAGTGAGGAGCCGGCTGGGCCCGGCGGGGGGCGCGCCAGGCTGGGTGGAGCACCACACACGCCGCGCATCGGCGCGACTCCGGCTGAGGACAGCGCCACCAGCACCTGAGGGCGCGATACCCTCTGGGAGAACATGGCCAGTACGCGAGGTGCGCAGTACGAGGCGTGAAGAACTCCCATTTGCGCTCTGTGATTTCAATGTTTATGCTCACGCGCGCAATTTGGCGGACTGTAGGTGCGCAGTGAGTGTTTTCGCCTGCGACTGGTGGCGTGTGTTTCGACACCGCTTCAGCGCCGAAGCCTTTTTACTGGTATACTGACCCTGTTGAATTATTGATCGAGTCGCCGGGGCGGGCTGGAAGCGCGCGGCCGCCGCTCGGCGAGAGAGCGACAGCCAGCGCGCGAGAGGGAGAGAGGGCAGGGAGATAATTGGCGGTGGTTCGGCTTTCGCCCGCGGCAGCTGACCTGCGGACCACCCAGCCGACAGCGCGGGTCGGCAGCGGCCGGAGTCGGACCCGAGCTGTCAGCGGCTCACCGGGCCGGCCGCCAGGGAGCAGCAGGCGCCGCCCGCTTCTGCGACCGGCGCCAGGCACTCAGCCGGGCGCAGACTTCAGTCAGGCTGCCAGAGTACCTGCCGAAGCTGTTGTCGTGAAGCAAAGCCGCGGCCGATAAGCGTCGTTTTCAAAGCACACCATACTGGGGGTGCGATTTAAGACAGCCTGTAGGAAGTTTTCAGCCCGTGATATGTGTCTGAAACAGCTCAGCTGTCCACACGTTTGTACGGGGTGCCGGAGGTGTAGTGGTTAAGCTGCGTTTCTGGGAAGCTAGAGCTGCGGGGTCCGCTTCCCCGCGGTGCCCGCCCTTCACGCCAGGGTGAGACCCAGGCGACGCCACGTGGCCTCAACAGCTGAGTGCGTCGTAAAGCCCAACGACGACGTACACACCTAAGTTTTGGTTTGTAAGTCATTGGTGAGCGGGAAGAATCGGTGGAATGAAATAATTCAGGTCCATTTACCTTTATGATGATATATGAAGCCGGTGTAAGTTGTAGCTCTGCTTAATGAAATGAGCAGAGCTACAGATCGTCAGGGTACACACAGACCTAGATGGTGCACAACGACCACACCATCGAACTGGAGCGGACTGTTGAAAAGGTAGCCAAACGTCCTGTTGAGAATGTAGCCAAACAATTAACTGAATGTCTGTCAGTCCGACACCGAGCTTATTCCTGCCAGGCCTTTAGACTACCGCCATAAGATTAAACACCCATCCGACCGTCCGACGTTCGTAACATCCTCAGAACGTGTCGGATGATCAGTTTCACTCCTGATCTGCAGCCTGTCCCGGGCTGTCAGACTCCTGGCAATGCGTCGTACTCCCATTTCATCACCTTAGCATACTTCCTCCAGGCAATCATGTACCAGTACCTGAAATGTGGCTTACATACAGCGCTGTGTCCACAGGCCGATTTCTCCCAGGATCTCTAACATTTTGCATTCTTAGACCGATAGAAATTATAATGCATAACCTTCCCCACGTTTTTAGTCACACCAAGCCACGAAAACAGCCGAAGCATCGTCGCTTCATGTTCGGCTATCGCGCTACGTCCTAAAACACCGTCATGATAAGGGCCGAACTAGAGCTTACACTCCTTTAAAAGCGCTCATGTTTTAAAGCTAGTATCTTTATCAATAAAGTTCCTTCTAGCAACGCTAGAAGCATCATGACGTGTCTATCTGGTAACACGAAAGTTGGATATTCTCAACCATTAGCACAATAGGCAGGCTCAGCTGGTCTAGACATCTTCGGCGTGTTCTTGAGCTTTAGCCGCTGGAAGTGCATGACCAGCGATGTGTGGGCTGTTGATTCGTTCTTTATATTCAACGTTGCAGGGAATGTTTCACACTTGAGGATATTGAAGCAAGCGCTATATATGATGAAACAAGCTTACTTGTAACTGTTGGCACACTTGTAAGTGGAAAAGACTGCTCTAGACAGTACAATTCTCTCTTTAGGTAAATATGCTCCTCAGTGCGTCATGGTCTTATTACGTCATCGTACCTTGCACAACATTGATTGAGAGCGCATTGACGGCCGTTATATCTGGAGATCGTGTTCACGAAGTCGAGATATGAACGCCTCGATAATTCCTTTTTTTACCTTCATTGCCGCAGGGCTTACGGAATGGCAGGATTTGAATGGCGTTACTACGACGCCATGAATGCCAAGGTAACTGAAATACTCTCCCTCCCCATGTTTGCGGACGCGTAGCCCAGAAACTAGACGGGCTTAGGTCTTAATAAGGGCATAGCTGTCAACAGCACAGAAAGGTTTTAACACGGCTGTTTCAGTTCAAAACCCCCTACAAATGTGAAACACTCTTTTTAACGGCAGTGTAAAACCAACCCAAAGAAATGTGTCATTCATTGATTAAAGCAATAGCAGGCGTTTATTTTTAACAATGCTTTATGTTTCCATACGAACTGAGGTAGGTTCAGGAATAGGGAGATCAAGGCGTCAAGTTTAAAGGTAACAGCATCTTCTGGGCTTGGTTCATCCGTGCGAAACAACGCACTGAAATGCGTCTTGGTGCCACTGCACATTTTCTGCAGAATAAGCTGACGCAAAGGCGTCCATCCATAAGGTGTTAGCAGAAATAGGTCTCTGTAGAATATTTAAGTTGCTTTGAAATTGATAAAGAAATCAAGTGGTTTGTGCTCTAGTATAAGAGAACAGAAGTGAATGGGTACTATTAGTACTGAGTTGTTCAATGAGCATTGAAACTGCCCATGCTTCGCCGCCAATTATCATCATGGTCTATTGCATTAACGGTGGCGTAACTGTTGTAGCGTCCTGACTCATGTGCAGTTGAAACAAAGCAAAAGGATGAGAAATGAAAAGATAAAAATAAAATGATGCAATATGAAAAAAATGAAAAGAGGAAAATAAAATAATGTCAAATGAAAAAAATGAAAAGAGAAATTAGGCATTGCACGCCGTGAAGGAAATCCACGAGACAAATAAGTGCCTGTGATATCAACATTTCTTTCCCTTTGGTTGTGTTGGATCATCGTACATTAGTGCAACTCATTGCCAACGTATGTAATAGACAGAAAAATATACAGCAGCGACCGGACTAACGGCAGGATGCAGCGCGCGACAATACCTATCACTTTGGCAAACGTCAGACATAAAAGCTGCAGGCATGCCAAAGAGAGATCTAAATTTGCATGGGGTTGACACCGTATAGACAGTTCTTGCAAAGGTACAGCAGGTGATAAGCTGCGAAGTTAAATAATTAAATTTGGTGTGGGGGCTCATGTCAACGTGCAAGCGCACAATATACCTATTAGCGCACAATATGCCGCTTCAGTCTACTCAAAGCGATTTGAAATAGTCCTAAACCAAATTGAGTGAGCGTCGAATTATGGTTAGGAGCAAATCCCTTTCCTCAAAATTATTCAAATCAAGAATGGATCAAGCGAGTTTGTTTCATCAATTTCCTGAGGAAACAACTTAAGCAGAATGCAGTATCCTGCATTACTCGAATAAACATAATTCGGTTAACTATGAATGCCCGCACAGCCAACGGATTATTTTTAATAGAGTAAACCGTCATAGCAGAAATGTCGAACAGTTAACATGTACCAAGGTGGCTGGTTAGATATCCTTTCGCTTGGAGGAAGACAATTTGACCCCCTGAGATCTCAGGAACTAAGGAAACGAGAGACACCAAATGCAGAGGGTGCGTTGTCCTGTACGTGAACTCACTTAGGTTTAAGTTTGAGGTTCCTAGGTCATGACCATTGCGACAAATAAGATTAAACAAGGTCAAACTCAAGGTTTGTCTCCAAAGTGCCCCAGAACCTATATGCCCGTTCAAAGCAAAAGTTTGCATACTCATTTAAGGCCAGTGACCTTGTTTGATCCTGTGAAGGTCATGACGACCAAAATCATACAAGGCCGCTTTGAGTTTTGCATTTAAATAAGCAACAAACATTACGCTGCGCAGTATGTTTTTAAAAACAAAATGTTGGGTCGCTTTAGGCCAGTGATCTACTATGACCTTTAATAAGTCAATGAAGGACAAATAATTCAGTTCTTGTTTTCGATAAATTGGAAATGAGCACCAGAACCTACCCTAAGCAGCAAGCCCCGAAGTAATAAAACAGGTTGGATTTGACCTTGGTCTGACCTTTATACCTGGCTCTAGGTCACTGGAATTTGTTCATTCAATTATTGTGTTGCCTAAGAAAGTATCTCAAAGATGTATGGCTTCGTGTAGCACCCCGTTGTTGCATGAGATTGAACGATTCCCTAGAGACTGACTTCGCTGAATCTATGGCCTGGCTTTGACCCGCCCTAAGTCATCG